TTGAGAAAAGTTCACGAAACCCTTTATCATGTCGGAAAATGCATCCTGACGGCCGAGGGTTCCGCCTAATGTTCGAGAGCTGCGCTGCAGCTACAGCCCTGCGACTTTCACCATCAAACGACATGAACGACTACAAGGAATATAAATGTGATCTTCCAAAACGAACGGCCAAATCTCTCAAAACCTCCGAAAAACCGACCCCAGGTTGACACATTGTCCGCCCTGGCCGGGCGGGCCAACTAGCTCCAACCCGCGCCGGACTTCCTCTAGCTCATCGACGCCGAAGAGCCCCACGAGGTATATTGCAGCTACAGACCTGAGAATTCAACAGATAGACGCGGCAGAACCCACTACACGTGAAAAAATTACTGGCTCTCAAAAAGAATGGTCACATCTCTCAATCTGCGAAACACCGACCCCTGGTTGCCACATTGCCCGCCCGGGCCGGGTGGGCCAACTGGGAGCCGGCAGTAAGCCGTCAACCAGGTTACCGCTGGAACCCTCGTGGAGCTCTTGACACGCAAAGTATTGCTCAGTATACGACGAGAAGGCTTCCTTGAATATCAGCTTAGAAACTCGAGAAATTTATTCGTTCGGTTTTATACAAAGTTGGTTCCTCCACATCTTTTGGCAATAATACTTGGATCACCGTGTGGTTTCGCAAGTAGACCATTGGGATATATAATGATATAACATGATTGTATACACACTGCATGCAGGTTGTATGTTGTGCAAACATTATACATGATACCAAACCAACATCGCGCAAACGCTAACACATACGTGTGGATTCTAAACGGGCGATGCGTTTGTCACTGCAAGAACCTGTTTAAGTTTAGTTGGGCAACCTGCTTCGTGATGATAACCTGCAGTTTCTCAAATGGTTGCGAATATGATACATTGTGGATACGACCCCCGCTATCCACATTGCGAACCAGGTTCTGTAAATAGGTTAGCGGCGTTCCCAAACCGTTTGTTTTCGGAGGCCGTCACATGATAATTTCTGGGTGTGTCTTGGGATTTCGGGATGAATCCAACGATTTTGGGCTCAAAACCTGTCGCGTGGCGCCTCTTTCATACAACTGCCTCGCATCACGCGACCCCCGTGTTGACAGCAAGCTACTGTTGACGAGATGGCGGTCGCTTCTTCTGATCCGCCAGATTTTGGACTGGAGCCTTCGATGTTGAAGGAGTTGGAGGCGATTGCTCCGCATATCAACAAGCGGGTGGAGGACTTGGTGGACGTTCACGTGGGCCGAAAGCAGAAGAGTTTCGGTAGGGAAACGGACCTTGGACTCACGCACTGGCTCACTCTCCACAATCACTTGCGCGATATGGGGCTGCATTGCGTAAGTGGCGGTGGAGAGTCAGCCAAGGCGTGGATTCGGGCTTGCTTCCCCTGAGGGCGGAGGTCGACCACATCTTGTCTCAGCTGGAGTCGGCGGGCCTGGCACATCGTGAGCAGAACGTCATGGTCGACAGGTTCGCGCCGCACCCATCGAACAGGAACACTCAGGGACTCGACCCGCTCAACGTACAGACTCTCTTGTCCAAGATGCTCCGAGATGGGTTTTCGCACGCCTTGACCACGGACGCCACGGCATTCGAGGTCAGTCCGAACCGCGACACTTTTTCCAAGCAGATGGAATTCCAGAGCATCTTGGAGTCGAACAGTAACGGTTTGATCGTCAAGGTCAGCAGGCAGGACGTCAGGTTTCTCACAGTGGCAGGGTCTCACACAGTTGCTAGTATCAGGGCCGTGGCCCATCAGGTGAAGGCGTCGGCGGTGTTGGAGTAAGTTTCAACAGAGGATGGCCATATCTCGAAGGACAAGGTTGTGTCGGAATGTCAGAGTTTCTCAGATCCCTGGCAGAACGGGATGTCCTTCAGAATCATTCGCAGCGCAGTTGAACATGATTGCCCTGGCCTACCAGCCATGATCGATGATGCCATGAACAAGGCACACGACACGTTCCAGGAGAACACCCCCGCGCAGACGTTGAAGGGCACGTTCTCGAGGGCCCAGATGAACATGAAGTTGTACGATGGAGACGCGAAGTGGGATCTTATCGCTGCAGACTTGGAGCGCGATTCGCCGAGTTATGCAGGCCAGGGGAAGGCGATGTGCGATTTCATCAGGACTTGGGCAGGCGGCGCTGACGGGCAGTTATTGGACGAGTTGTTAGAGTTTGCCTGTTCCTTGTCATCCCGCAGGTTTGTTGGCGGCGTCACCTGGAAACTACTTGCAGGCGCGGAGTTCTCGCAAGGCCCTCGCTGCGTCCTGGCCATGGCGAAAGCCGCGCTGACTGCGCCAGATACGTCTGTGCAACGGGGCGAGTCTCGTCTTTTCAACTCTGCCGACGTTGATTCCACCAAGGGCGCCAAGAAGGTCCAATGCATCGAGGCGGAGGCAATGTTCAAGTGCGCGAGGGAGTTCGTGCTTCCGCTGGGGGGCACCCCGAAGTCTGCGAAGATCAAGTTGCTCGGAGACCTCGAAATCAGGACAGTGATGACAATCCATGGGAAGAAAAGTCGCAGTCACAAGTCCTTCGAGAACGCCAGCGCCATTCGCCAAGAATTTCTCAAGGACTTGTACGAGCTCGACCCTTCTACCAAGTCTTTGACACCACCATGGGCGTTCGAGGGCCACGTGAGCAGCAGCAGCAACAACGCACCTCAGCTCAGGGAGTTCACCGAGAAGGGGCTCAGCTTGCGCGAGATCCAGGCCATGGGCTTCCAGGAGGGTTCCACCGTCGAGCTGAAGGGGGGGTGTGTTCATCCGAGTGGCGTCCGCTACCACGTCATTAAAGAGATGGGCGATGGCCACGTGTTCCTGGACCACGGCATGAAGGACGTCGGGCGGTTGATGATCCCATTCGGCCAGCTCGCAGACGAGTGGCAGGCGGCCCGCTTTGCTGATGCTTCGCCTCCATCGTTGTGCATCGCCCGTTTGGTTTTCAGTTGCGCGAGTGCGATCGCAGTCAAACGTGCGCGTGCGTGCTCAGGTTTACGTGCGAGCTCATGTGACGTTGTATGTGTTTGCGCCGTGGTGTATGCATATGTGTAAGTAATACGCATGAAGACGGGAGGGATATGGAGGAGGAGAATGAGGAGTGGGAGGAGGAGGAGGAGGAGGAGGAGGAGGAGGAGGAGGAAGGAGGAGGGAGCAGGGCAATGGGGAGAAGGAGGAGAGACGGAGCAGGAGGAGGAGAAGCGCAGGGAGAGCAGGAGGAGTAGGAAGAGGAGGAGGAGGAAGAAGTGGAGGGGCAGGAGGAAGACCCTCCGCTACGTCCAGTCCACCGTTCGTTTCGTCGTCGTGCTGCTCCTCGCTCTCAGCTGTCGCTTTCCTCGCCCCTCCCCATCCTTCCAACGAAGTCCGCCGCCGCCGCAGGTGGCCGTGAACAACCAGGTCCTATCCCTGAAGATGAGCTCGGTCGATCCCGAGGCCATCCGCGCTGCGCCCCAGGGAGGGTGAGCAAGGGAGGGGATGAGGATCAGGGGGAGGGAGGAGAGGCAGAGGGAGAAGGCGGAGGCGAATGAGGTGGAGGGGGGAGGAGGAGGAGAAGGGAAGGGAGGAAGATGAGGACGCGACCCCACCCTCCTTTTCCCCCTCCCCCTCCCCCCTCCCCAACCTCCCCAACTTCCCCCTCGCCCCCTCCTTTGGCACCGCGGGGTGAGGCGTCAGCGGTTTGCCGTAGCAAATCGGCTTGTCGCCTCCGTGACCTTCCTTTCCCGCCCCCTTCCTCCCCCCTCCTCCTCCCTCCTTTCCCTCCTCCTCCCTCCGTATGTAGGCCGAAGTCGAACCTCCTCCTCCCCCTTTCCCTCCTCCTCCCTCATTTCCATCCTCCTCCCTCCTTTCCCTCCTCCTCCCTCCTCCTCCCTCCTCCTCCCTCCGTTCCCTCCTCCTCCCTCCTCCATCCCCCCCTCCTTCCCTCCCCCCTCCCTCCGTAAGTCGGAGTCGAATGATGAACAGGAGGCCGAGGGCGAGGAGAAGGAGAGGGAGGAGGGCGGAGATGAGAAGGATGGAGGAGGAAAAGCGGGAGCGGGGGGAGGAGACGGACGGGGAGAGGGAGGAGAGCGCCGAGGGAAGGCCGACATGCTGCGAAGGAGGAGGGGGTGGGAAGATGGGGAGGGGGAGGGGCAATGAGGTGAGGAGGAGGAGCATGAGGAGAAGGAGGGAGAGGCGAAGGTGGAGGGGGAAAAGGAGGTGGAGGAGGAGAAGGAGGAGGAGGGGGAGGAGGAGGAGGAGGAAGGGGAGGATGAGAGGGCGGATGGCGATGCTGGTGATGATGATGATGAGGAGGAGGAGGAGGAGGGGAAGATGGAGCAGGAGGGCGAGGACGGGGGGGATGGAGAACGAGGAGAAGCAGGAGCAGGAGCAAGAGAATGTACGTGCATTGCAAAGCAAATCCCGCACAGCTTGTCAATCGAATGATGAACGAAGACGCGATGGGGGAGAGAAAGAGGGAGGTGAGAGGGAGGTGGGAGAAGCACGTTAGGAAGAAGGGGGGGGAAATACAGAGAAGGAAGAGAGAATAGGGGGACGTGCGCAAGAAACGAGGCAGTGAGAAGGTCACTAAGAGGGCGCGGGGAGGCAGGGCGGAGGGCGACACGATGTCTACAGGGGGAGGAGGGGGAGAGGAAGAGGAAAGAGGGAGCTAGGCAGAGGAGGGTGGGGGAGAAGAACACGAAGTAAACCGTCGTTTTCGCGCCGCCTCATCTCGGCGCGCCCGTTTTCTCTGAGGCCTACCTCGGAGCTTTTGGGGGGAAGGGGGAAAGGGGCACGGGGGGGCGCAAGACGCCCCGCGGTGTTGGATTTGCGCTGGCCCGAAGACCCCCCGCCACCCCCCATTCCCGCCTCTCAGCCGTGATCCTTCCTGGCCCTCCGTCCTGCCGATTCATTCGGGAAGCGCGGGGGAGGGGGGAGTGTTTTTTGAAGTGCCCAGCGGTCAGTATATGTTCACACGCGCGCGTCTAGCCATCCCTCTCCCGATGTGCAGGCGAACAAGGATATCGTCTCGCAGCTGGCGGTCTCGGCGGTTCGGGGGGCTCTCGTGCAGGCGTGGGCGCACTGCAACGACCCCAGCATCGAGATAGACTATAAGGACGTGTCTGGCAAGGCTGTAGTAGAGAAAGTATCGTCGACAGAGAGCCATCAGAAAGGCAAGCTGGTTCTGATCCCCCTGAGCCCCGACGTTAGAGCTGGCGAGAAGGTCACCTCGGGCGCCCTTGAGGTGAGTGAGGGGCCTTTCCAGCATACTAGGGAAAGGGACCGTCAAGCTCAAAGTGTATATTGTCCCCAAGATCGTGTTGCCTAGGTATTTCGACGAACTCTTTTGCCGTGCCCTTTGCCGCTGAGCCCGCTGCGAACGATTCGACGGCAGCGAACATGGAGTGGTGGACCGAAGATTGCGCCGTGAAGCTGCAATGCGGGTCTTCTGATATGACCATCAAAGTGCAAATCCCGATGCTGCGCAATTCCAAAGCGATCGCCAGTGGCAAGCCTTTGTTCCGCCCCCCGATCGCCATCGCGCCAACTCCGCCCGAGAAGAGGACCCCCGAGAAATCTGCATGCACTGACGGAGATGAGCCGCCCACCAAGGCTCGCAGGACTTCAGAGCGCAAGCAGGGAGCAAGGGCGGTGGCCCCCTTGCAGCCCGAGTTAAGTGCAGAAAACTGACAGCATCTCTGAAGATACTCGAACTGATAGCACCTCTGAAGATAATTCGAATAATACGATTAGCTTCGCGGACCTAGCTCGGGCAGCAGACCGAGTTCAGAGCTCTCGATGAAACAGACGAACGCGCCTGATGATGTTCGATTTCTGTGAGGATCAGCTCTGTAGCTGCCCTACAGCTCGAGTAAAATACAAAATGCCGACAACGCGCATGAAGATGACTCGAACCAGCCGATCCCGCCGCAACGCTTTTTTGCAGAAATATTTACCGATCGAGCTGAGATTAAGATGGCGAACGGGAATAAGATCGAATATGCTCAGAAGAAATACTGGCGCCGGCTGAGAACCTCCAACCTGGTCACCGCCGGGAATCTCGTAGAGCTCCTTCCACAAGAGTGCTCAGAGTCGAAAGAGAAAGCTTCTAGAAGCATTTCTCGAAAATTGATTTTTTCCGTGCCGACATGAAGATGGTTCCGCCAAGTGATTTGATAGTAAAAGTGTAACTACAGAGCTCATATTAAGACAGAGAGGCCCTCATGGTCGTTTACAGGTGCGAAGAATCTGCTTTCTCAAATGAATTATCAAATATCTTTCAGAAAATTGCAAAGACACCCAAAAGTCATCACTTTGTCCTTTCTGGCCGGGTCGACCACTAGCTCCACTCTGAGCTGGAATTCCTCTAGCTCATCGATGCCGAAGAGCTCTACGAGGTACTAGAGTTCTAACGAATTGTTGGATTCCGAGAACAAAATTCTCAATCGATGGCGCCGGCGTTGAACCGTCAACGCGCGGAACCTCGTAGAGCTCCTTTGACGCAGTGCTCAAAGTCAAAAGAGAGAGCTGCTGGAAGCATTTCTCGAAAAAGCGAAAAAATGTTTTTTTCTCGTGTCGACATAAAGATCGTTCCCCCAAGTGTTTTGATAGTAAAAGTGCGCCTACAGAGCTCATACTAAGACAGAGAGGCCCTCATAGTCGTTTACAGGTGCGGAAAATCTTCTTTATCGAAACGAACTTTCAAATATCTTTCAAACTTGGTAGCGTCCCAAACCCGAAGAGCGAAGAGACCCTTTCGGGACGGAATATCTTTCCTGGAGGGCTCTGGGAAGCTCCCCTGCAGCGCTGCCGAAGCGCTGCCAGAAACGCTTCAACACGTGCCTGCACGCGTGCAAGCACGCGTGGAAGCTTGCCAGAACCTCTCCCGGACCCGTTGCCGGGCCGGGCGAGTTGCTGCGGGGAACGTGGACCGCCGTGGAAGAGCTCCTGGCGGGCACCACCACCGTCCGGCTTCTAATCTTAAATCCTTTAGCTCTCAGCGAGCTCTCCGGGAACTTGGTAGCGTCCAAAAACCCGGACAGCAAAGAGACCCTTCGGGAACGGGAAATCTTTCCTGGGGAGTTCTAGTAAGCTCCCCAGCAGCCTTGCTGATGCGCTGCCAGAGACGCTTCCATGCGTTCCTGAACGCACGCAAGCACGCGTCGATGCCTGCCAGAAGCTTTCCCGGACCAGCTGCCGGGTCGAACGAACCGCTGCGGGGATTCTGGACCGCCGCGGAGGCTCGTTCTCACAGGAATCGATTCGGCGACATCAGGCGCGTCTGCCTGCCAAATCCAGAGCTAGGAACTCGGCGTGCTGCCCGAGCTAGGTTCGCAAAACTATTCGTATTCGTCGAGTCAGTTTGGGAGGTGCTGTCCGTTTTCTGCACTTAACTCGAGCTGTACGGGGGCTGCAGTGCTGGTGATCATTCGAAGACATCAATCGCGTTCACCTGTCGCATTCAGAGCCCTGAACTCGGCCTGCTGCCCCTAGGTCCGCGAGACTATTCGTATTGTTCGAGTCATCTTCAGAGGTGCTGTCGTTTTTCTGCATTTAACTCGGGCTGTAAGGGGGCTGCAGGGCTGGTAACCACAGGAATTGATTCGCAGACATCAGGCGCGTCCGTCTGTTGCTTTCAGATGTCTGAACTCGTCTGATACTCGAGCTAGATTCGCGAAACTATTTGTATTGTTCGAGTGATCTTGAGAGGTGCTGTCGATTTTCTCACGTCACTCGCGCTGTACGAGAGCTACGGAGCTGGTGCGCACAGAAAACGATCCAGAAGCATAAGGGGCGTTTGGCTGTTGCATCGAGAGGTCTGAAATTGCTTAGGCTGAAAAATTATCCGTTCTCTGCAATTTTTTTCGACATTATATATGCTTAGGAAGCTCTACGAGTCCCCCGGCGGTAAGCAAGGTTGACGGTTTACCGCCGGCGCCCAATGGGCGCTACCAAGTGGGTGGTTTTGCAATAGTTCCCGGAGAGCTCGCTGAGAGCTAGAGGGTTTAAGATTAGAAGCCAGCAGTGGTGGTGCCCGCCAGGAACTCCTAGCCCCCCTACAGCCCGCGTTAAGTGCAGAAAACTCAGCACCTCTCAAGATGACTCGAACAACACGAATAGTTGCGCGAACCTAGCAAGGGCAGCAGAGCGAGTTCAGACCTGTAGATGGAACAGACGAACGCGCCTTATAATTCGCAATCGATTCATGTGAGAATGAGCTCTGTAGCTGCCCTACAGCTCGAGTTAAGTAGAACATACCAACATCAAGATGACTCGAAACAGCCGATCCCGCCGCGATGCTTTTTGCAGAAATATTTACCCGATCGAGCTGAGATCAAGATAGCGAGCGGGAATAAGATCGAATGTGGTCAGAAAAATATTAGAGCTCAAACGAATTGTTGCATTTCGATAACAAAATTTTCAATCGACCAAAAGTCAAGGTCCGTCGAGATTTTTCTTGCCAACTAGCTCTGCAGCGCGCCAGAATTACTCTTAAGCTTCCAGCAACTTAAGCTTCCAGCAACTGGGCGCCGGCGGTAAACCGTCAACCTTTGTTACCGCCGGGGGACTCGTAGAGCTTCCTGACAACATATAATGTCGGAAGAAAATTACACAGAAAAAATATTTTTTCAGTCCAAACAACTTCAGACCTCTCGGATGCAACAGCCGAACGCCCCCGATGCTTCTAGATTCTTATGTACGAGCTCTGTAGCTCTCCTACATCCCGAGTTACGTGCGTAAATCGACAGCACCTCTCAAGATCTCGAACAATACAAATAGTTTGACAAACCTAGCTCGAGTATCAAACCGAGTTCAGACCTCTGCATGCGACAGGCGGACGCGTCTGATGTCTCTAAATCGATTCCTGTGATTACCAGCCCTGCAGCCCCCCCTACAGCCCGAGTTAAGTGCAGGAAACCGACAGCACCTCTCAGGATGACTCGAACAATACGAATAGTTTCAGCAGACAGAGTTCGGAGCTATGGATTCGAAAGGGGGACGCGCCTGATGTCTCCAAATCGATTCCAGTGATTACCAGCCATGCAGCCCCCCCTACAGCCCGAGTTAAGTGCAGAGAACCGACAGCATCTCTCAAGATCACTCGAACCATACGAATAGTTTCACGAACCTAGATCGGGCAGCATACCGAGTTCAGAGCTCTCGATTCAACAGACAACGGCCACTAATGATTCTGAATCAGATTCTGTACGTATCAGCTCTGTAGCTGTCCTGTAGCTCGAGTTAAGAACAGAAAACCGAGAGCGTCTGTCAAGATGACTCGAATAATACGAATAGGATTGCGGACCTAGCTCGGCTAACAGACCGAGTTCAGACCTCTGGATTCAACAGGCGACGCGCCTGATCATTCTGAATCGATTAGCTGTGCTTACCAGCTCTGTAGCTGTCCTGAAGCTCCAGTTATCTTGAGAAAACTGGCACCGCCTATCAAGATGACTCGAAACGGCCGATCCCGCCCGTGTGCTTTTTGGCAGTAAAAGGTACCCGATCGAGCTGAGATCAAGATGCCGAGCGGGAATAAGATCGAATATCACGGGAAAAAAATACTAGAGCTCTAACGAATGGTTGAATTTCGAGAACAAAATTTTCAACCGACCAAAAGTCACTAAACTGGGCGCCGGCGGTAAACCGTCAACCTTGGTTCTAGGCGTTCTAGGCGGGTCCTGGCAGGGTTAAGCTCCTTAGGAGCCCCAGACCCAGTCCTACAGGGGATATCCTGACAAACTCAGGATATGCACCACTCCTAAAAGGAGCTCTCGGGCAGCTTCTAACTCAGCCTCTGTGATAGTGCATTGTGCTGGGAGAAGGAAGCTTTTGAGACCTACATTCTGGCGCCAGCCAGTCTGATTATAGTAAGAAGAAGAGGGGAGAGCACTACACACATAGCAATCCAGATACCAGCCACAGCCTACACCAAGAATCGATCTCCCACCATCAAAGCCTCCTTTGATCCCCGAGATCACAACTTTACAATCTTTCACTTCCTGAAGAAAACAAGTGTCATAATGTTCGTAACATTCACCTCTCCGCGCGGTCCGCGTTAATTCATCGGCACGAGTATTGCCCTCCCTATACACCCACTTCCACACATTCCGTCCTAAATTGGCAGCTCGTAGTCCACATCTGTCGGCTAGATCGTTTGTAGTGTCCTGCGCCCACATCACGCGACTAGCATACTTTCTATTAGTGATACTACTCAAGCCCTCCAACCACCTGATCACACAT